TTCAGGCAGTTATGGGTGGGGCCACCGGCTGCTAATCGCTCTCTATTTCGCTGCAAATCAATTCAGTTGTCTCGCCATTGACGCCGTGGACCTTGTCTATGTCCAGGTTGCAGCGGCCGGACCACAGCGCCCAAAGAACCGCCTTTCTGCCCAAGTCGAAGAGATTCCTTGTGAAAGTGTTGGCCTGGGTATCACAGTGCCTGCACAAGAGGGCCCACCAGTCCCAGGGTCACTCGCTACAATTTTCCAATCCTTCGTCTCCCGGTCCCAAAGGTCCCCCACCCGAACTACCCCCCTCTTAACCCAGGTGGACCACGGTGCTTGCTAAGACGAGAAGACGCATCCCTGCCGGTCGGTTATCACCCTATTTCCAAAAAGTGGTTGCCTTGCCACCTCCTCCCAACGACAGGGGGGCGGGCTGTCTGGCAGGGGTAATCTACACCAGCATATTAGGAGTTGGGTCCAAAATTGGTATGTACGAAGGTCTTCACTGGCTGCTATTCTGGTCGGGTTCTGGTACTTGGAGACCAAGGGTCTAGGAATGGACCAGCATGTGTTGTCCAGCCCGGTCAAGGGGTGAATGTCGTGGTGTGTTTCTGGGGCCATCCTGGCCAACTGTTCAAGCGCAAGGGGATCAGCCACTGGAGCCATTGGAGCAAGAGTGCGGCCGTTTGGGTGTCGTGGTCCACGATCACCAGACTGCTCAAGTCCTGGGCTGTATTACGGAAGCCCACTCCACGGCTAATCACCCTATCGAGCTCATGGTCGCCTTGCCATAGGAAAGCCGCCAATTGTCCTTTCAGGCGCTGGGGCACGCCTTGACTCATGGGTCATCGCAGATTTGGACCAGAGGGTTGCAAGCACCACACTGTTCAGAACCAGCGCCCTACCAAAAAGTGCAGGGCCGGTGTTGAGGTCCTTGCATCATTAGTGGCTGGCTTCCCAGCGGCCGACATCTATGCCCAAAACCCGAATTGGGGAGTCCAAGGGTGGCCGCTCTATCGAAGACCTTGGGAGGATGCTAGTGCAGCAGTGGACCTCTGAACAGCAGGTCTAGCCCAGTTGGTACATATCCGAGCTGTTGAAATATACAGACCCAAGTTCGAGTCCGGATGCCAGCAATGTGCAAGCAAGGTGAAAGCCATAGTCCAAAATTAAATTAGAATTTAAAATTATATATTTTTGAAATATTTGCTGTACATTGTACAACAATTTTTTTATTATTGTTTTTTTTCTTGGGACAAAAGCTCCAATCTATTCGTGGGGAGCAGCACGTGCTGGGAACCAGGACCAGCGTCTCGTATGAAATTACACGCACTGAAATACCAGGACCGATAACCGGCTTCGCCTGAGAGAATCTGAGAGCAAACCAAGGAATTTGAGAAAGCCTGAGTAAACCAGCTACTCATGAGAAAACCCTTTTTTTTTTTTTTTTTTTGAACAAGCTGCGAAAATTAAGAAACCATCCTCCCTCGTCCCTGTAACCCCCCTATTCTTCATCATCTCCGGATGAGCCGACCTCCTCCATCACATAGTTCAGAAGATAAAAACAGTAGCCAAGCAACCTCACCGAATCCCATAATGATTGAAGACAGACTTCAACTCTTCATCTTCCTTCGACGAGCCAACCTCCTCCACCACGTAGTTCGAAGAAGAAGAATAGAAGTAGTCCACCCAATCGCAAAGTTGAACACATTTGAAATTCGGGGGCCTTTACCCGGCTTTGGCTAAGAGGCCAATCAAGCAATCTCCAATCCTACGAAACACCTATGAGAAAACCTTATGAACGACTACAATTCTCGAGAGAACTGCCCATGATCTAACCAAACACCATCCGACCCTGGAAGCAGAAGACCCTAACTGAAACCTCCTACTGTTCAACCCTCCCCTTTGGCAATCGAAAAAACATAAAACCAAGCGTTCAGTCCTCGTACCAGAACTCAGCTGATCTCATACCCTCCGCTGCTAGGGTTAACACAAGCTTCCCCAGTACCGACCAACCTTGTTCTGACGGAAGAGAGTGCCTTCCTCCCTCGACAACTCCCAATAGCCACACCCCCCTTCAGGTCCCCTTCAGGTTACAGGGAAAACCCCAGCATCAGCTAGGTCGGACGAGCTGGTTATGCCTTCCTCCCTCCACATAACTCCCCAGACCTCAAGCTCCCCCAGGTTACAGAGCAGCAAGACTCCAGCATCGGCCCAGGTCACCCCAACCTCGTCCTTCTGATCCACTTGCTTACACAAACATTCCTTCCCATGTTGAACCCCATTTGCTTCCTTCCCTCCTCCAGCTCTAGCCTCCTCCTTCCCCCTCTGACATCCTATCCACAATAGCCCCCATCAGGCATTGGATGCATATGTTTGTATCCCTATTTGACAGTATACTTCCATATCAGGAGTGGTTTCCTTTGTGGCCATTCCTATTCGTCCGGGTCAAAGGGGAGCGCACAGATACGAAGACAAATCTCATAGGCAAAGAATCCAGCGTCCATGTTTCCAACTACCCTCTTCCTAGTAAGGCTTTGCAGCTCATGGCAGGAATCCAGTTCCTCATTTCTTTTCAAGCTCGTCCTTCTTGCCCTTGGCGATTCAGATTCGTAGGTCGTTAGTTCTGTTTCTTCGTTTGAGATTGTCCGCACATTATAGATAACCAAACGGATAAAGTTAACATGGTTGGTATAATCTATGGTGACCCAATCATGATTAATCTGAATCGTCGGTCCTCTCTTAAGAGCGGCAAGCCAGTCAAAGAGGTAACGGTTCCTGTCCTTGATTTAACTTTTGTCTACAGTTCTTGATATGTTTAAGGATTGATTGCAATTGTTGTTGTGTTTTCCATGTCCCTGCCTGGGCATCCCACAAGTCTCCTAATAGGAAGATGCTTCTATTCACCCATGTTATCCAATGGGAGTGTGATTTTAGTGCGAAGGGGGTTGGTCGTTCGCATCGCAAATATGTGGGTTACCAAAATTTGGCTGCCTCCAATTTCCATGCCACCTGAGGGGGGTTGGGGGCGCTTTTAAGGTGTCCCTTCTCTCTCCATAGGTGCAGGATATTAGGCCACAAAGGTCTCTTTTGAGGTCCCACCTAGTGTTATTATGAGCCGTTCAATCTCTTCTATGATTTGGTGGGTTGGGTATAGGCCAATCCTTAGGAGTTAACCATCATAGTGGGTGAACCATATTTGTGGTTGGGGAGGAGGGGGCAAAATAAGATAATAGATAGAATATGTGCGAGTCGCAACCAGGGAAGGTCATTTGCCATTAACATCCTTATAATAATCTTAAAGATTAGAGCTTTAATCTCGTCCACTGGATGAGTCTGGATCCAATATGCGCAGGCCCCCCACTTTTTTTAGGTTGGGGGACATATCTTCATGCAATCCTTTCGATACACTTGACTTGTTCGTGGTCATTTTTTCCACAGAAAGGCCGAGACCACGGATCCCAGTGCATCTATTTGTTTTGTAGGTATTTCCCAAAAAGCTGTTTTGTACCAAATAGTTGCCAGAATCGCATTGTCAATAGCGATAGCTCTTTGCTATGAGAGAGGTATGCAGTCCATCCCATTTGGCCATCCTCCTGAGGCATGTTTCCACCAAGGTCTGTCCATGATCATTTGGGGGGGGGGCAGAGCTGTAAGCCTGATACCTAGAATAGTGATCGCCTTGTGGTGCCTGTGCCAGTTTACTCATGGGTTCGGTGAGGGGTGTCGATTTTGTAAGTTCATCTACCAGCCTTTTGTCTCTGACACCCATTTGAGCTTGATGTCAGCAGCCACTTCAAAGGTTTGTATGGTTGTCACGACTCACAAGGGCCATCATGGACGACTCGGTGGCCTTTATGAGAAGAACAGTGAGGTCAAGTACGAAAAGGGAGGTGATTGGGACTGATTGGGGTGGCAGGTCTGGGATGTCAATTCTCTCTATATCAGGATTTCCTCGAACAGCACGCAAGTGGGTCGTCATGGCAGGAGGGGATGTGGACAGCATGCGCTCGACCACAAGGAAACGCAATATAACGGTTTTAGCGTGCTTCATGTTGTTTGCTACTGAGGGAAAGTTGATTCAATTTTCAATTTGTTCATCTTAGCGTGCTTCATGTTGTTTGCTATAGAGGTAAAGATGTTTCAATTGTGGGTCTGCCATCTGTGTGCAAAAGGGGCCGTTGAGACAACAGTTAAAAAAAAAAAAAAAAAAAAAAAAACTTTTAGAACACACACACACACACACACACACACACACACACACACACACACATAGAAAAACGTTTTAAGTTTTAATAAATGTGCCAACTCTACATGCCTTTCATTCAGGGATGGGTCATTAATGTTGATGAGTGTGGTTGTGTATGGTGGGTGGGTCGCTACACATTCTGTGGTGAGATAGGGTGACGTAAATTTTTTTTTTTTGGGAAATGAAGTAATTTGGAACACGCACGCACCATAAAACAAAAAAAAAAAGTTTTTCAACACCCACAGACACAAAGAAAAAAGAAAAAAAATCTTTAGAGTTTCAACAATTTCTTAAAATGTGCCAGAACTACATGCCTTTCAAGTTCGATGTGTCACTGATGGTGATGAGTGTGGTTGTGTATAGTGGGTGGGGGGTGGATCACGGAATATTCCGTGGTGAGATAGGGTGAAGAAATAATTTGGAAGGGGATTCATCTTCACCCCACCCCACTTGGTCTACTGGTTAAATGTCTGCCTGGCAAGTTTCAAGTTGAAGGTCAAGAGTTCGATGCTGGGATTGCGCAGTGTAGGTGCTCTGCCTCCACATGCCTCTCAAACTTTTGAGCAGTTTTTTTCACCGCCGTTCTGTTCTGAGCTTGTTTTTTTTGTTTTTTTACCCCCTTGTTTCCTTCCGAGTCTGACTCAGTTTTTCATGTGTGATTGTTGGCCTGACTGGATGTAATTTGTGCCCCTTTGGTGGCGGCATGGACCTTGTCGGCGGCTGCGGGGGATGGTTGGGAGGGGGTGATGGATGAATCGTATCGAAGGAATACTGGATAACGACCAAGTTTGCCAAATATGCCAGCACAGGCGTGATGCTGATCATTTTCTGCCTTCCATTACTGGCGCCGGTAAGTCACACATAACACGGTAAGAAAAAAAAAAAAAAAAAAAAAAACACGGTAAAAAGGTTATCCTGAAAAGTTGAAAACACTGAAAAAGAAAACCAGAAATTAGTAAAAAAGAAAAAGTTTAGAAAACAGGCTATCAAATCCTTACATAGCCCACTTGTAAACCTCCCCTCCCCCCCCCCCCCCCTGGGTCAAAAAAAAAAAAAGGACAAGAAAAAAAATTGATTGTTTTTCTTTTTTTGTTTGTTTATTTCTATGGCTGTCATCTACTTTAGGAAGTTTAGGGCATGCAGTGAGATGACATTTGGTAGGTGTAGAAACTTACGAGAAAAAAAAAAAAAAAAAAAACGAGCAACATGGATAGACTAAGGAAGAGACGTACAGAGAGAAGACAAATGCATAGGCCCCTTGCTCCACTACTCACCACATGCACAGAAGACAAAAAGTATGGCTGTGTATCTTACTATCTTTCCATGTTTTAGCCGAACATTCATTCTCATTTTGGTGAGTAGTGGAGTGAGGCCCATTGCAAAATGGATGGAGAAGTGTATAGAAAAGTAGATAAAGAAATGGATAGAAGATTCAATGAATGAATGAATCTGTTAATGCACAGAGATGGAGGGGTGGATGGGCAAACAACTGAGCCGTAACGGTTGGTTTTCGACATCACGTCTGCATTGCTTTCTTGTCAAACATGTAGAGGTGTATGGTGGGCATGGCTTCTTCTTTTGTTGCATGCCCCCTTTCTTCTTGCACCTTTTTTCGTGGCTCTCGTCCATTGCTGCCTGTGTTCTCTCCCCATTGTCTTGCGTTTGCCACAGTTTGCCGCCGATAAAGAGTCGTTTGCAAAGGAAACTACTCAGGAGAGACTCAAAGTACAAGCATCATGAACGCTCTTGATCAGCATGCATGCACATGGCAACCACTGCCAACCAGGCAAGCAGCAGAAACCACAAAGCAAAGATCACACCAGCTCAAGCACCAACAATGTTGGGTCAGACGTCTCTTGGTTGATGAAAATCCCCATTCTCACATCCCAACATTAGTAATTGGATCCAGTTTCCAGCAGGTGTCGCTCCCCACCAATGGACGGAGCAGCCCAATAAACAAGGGCCTCAATCCCGGCGGCTCTCTCACCCCCACCGAGATAGTGGGCTTGGAAAAGTGCTTTCCTTGCCAAACAACAACAACAACAACAACAACAGTAGTACCAGTCAGCCCTCGCGCTGGTCTCTCTACAAACAGGTATGACAACCTACTCTGTCATCTATCCGTAGCCCACACGACTGCATAGTACAGCGCCACAGAGTTCTCTGCTACACCCACCGATGCTGCCTTGAAGAACGCGTCTCGCCGGCGCTTTTCTTAGCAGCCACCAAGTCCCTCACCAAGTCCTCCTCCTCCACGACCTTTCCCCCTTAGTCCGGTGATCTTCCCTTCTCGCACCACCTCTCCCTACTCACCACCCAAACTGGCTACGGCGTCGATCTTCTTCCTTGCTAGGGAGAGTCAGAATGGCACTGAAACAGCCTACTAGTGGCGCTCCTTATCCGTGGCCAAACCCTAAGACTTTGCTGTTCTCTCGGCAGGGAGCATCACCCATCCTACCGTGGTGACCTGAACACACGATGGTGGTAGGCGCCACGGATGAACGGAACCCACTCAGCCCTGGTTGAAGTGTAGTCGAGCGAGCCCTGTCATGCGGGTGCTTCGAGAGCTAGGCATCAGCATTCGTTTTCTGCAGGTTCCATGGGTGGAGCACCTTAATTGTCCCCCAGACCTACCTGGGCTCCCCAGTGTATAGATCTTATCGACATTATCGTATGTACCCTAAGTATTGCAGGCAGTGTCTACTGGTAACACCCCCTGAGCAACCCGGTTTTACCCGCCTATCACAGCTTAACAGTTGAGAGTTGTTCCAATTATGTTGTGGTTATACTGCTGCTGTTCAAACTACGACCCTAGAGCTTCTAGCTTATTGTCGGTAGATAATACGGTGACCATCCACCCCTCTACCCTTAGTCGTCCGCTAGGCCCCTCTCTGGTCGCTTTCCTGTTATTGCTCTTGTTGTTATTGGTTATGTGTTCTTTGGAGGTTCCCTAGCCTCTGTCATTAGTAGGTACACGTACTGCATGAGGTACACGTACTACACGGCCACGATGCGCCTCCATAGCTCGGTCATCAGCTAGACTCCTCAGTTCGTCGTAGTTGTGTGGTTGTATAATCTGGAAGTCACTTCGCCAGATCCTCAGTGGTTGCTAGGCCCCCATCCGTTTGTCTACGAAGTCAGCAACTGCATCCCTCCTATGTCGTTGTATCGTCTGGAGGTCACCAAGCCCCATCGTCCGTAGACCGTAGTTACTACACCACCATCCGTTCTACGACTAAATCAGGAGCTAGTCCCCTCCGACTGCTGTAGTCCTGACTCCAGACCCATAACCACCCTTTGTGACATATTTGGCCTGGAGGTCACTTAGCCCCATCATCAGTAGTTAGTTGGCCACCATCGACTCTTCTACTAAGAAGCTACCTTCTTCCCCCGAATACAACATACGGTCATTATCGCTGCATTTGGCCCAACTTTCAGTCCAGATGCAGCGATAATGACCGGGCGTTCTATTCGGGGGAAGAAGGTTGTCCCCTCCCATCATTATCGCCCTGTCTTTCTCATAGCTATCACCACACTATGTGACGTATTGGCCTTCAAGAGGATCGAACCCTAGACCTGATTCCTACAGCACTCAAGCTCAACCTACTGAACTACCATCTCCGCTGATCTGCATATGCACTGCACCTATGTGTCCCCCGCGGTAGTGACCGCGGGGTCGATCCCGGCCCTCGGTTGGGATCTCAACTGCGGCCACGGACCGCCACAGTTGGGTCGCAGCTGCAGGCCTTCGGGGATGTTTCCCTGCCGAGTAAATGGAAAATAAAATAAAATAAATATGGGGTTGTAGCCTTGTAGGGTTTCGCAAACCCTACAACCCCATATATATATATATATTTTCCAAACCGCTGTTTTTTTTTATTAAAAAAATGAAATATAAAAAAAAAGATAAGAATATACAAAAATGTGTGTGTGTGAATGTGTGTGAATGTCACACGTGTGTGAATGTGTGTGTGAATGTCACACATGTGTGTGAATGTGTGTGTGTATGTGAGTGTGTGTGCGTGTGTGCGTGTGTTGGGGGGGGGGRGGGTGACCCCTCCCCAACCAATCAATCGAAGAAAAAAAAAACGTGCACGAGTGTGTGTGTGTGTGTGTGTGGGTGTGTGGGTGTGTGGGTGTGTGGGTGTGTGGGTGCGTGTGCGCGCGCGTGTGAGGGTAGGGGAGGGGGGCAACCCCTCCCGCACCAATCGATCAATCAATCAATCAATCAATCAATTGAAAAAAAAAAGAAGTGGGAAACAAAAACCACGTGAGTGTGTGTGTGTGTGTGTGTGTGTGTGTGTGTGTGTGTTTGTGTGTGTGTGTGTGTGTTGGGGGGGGCAGGGTGACCCCTCCCCCACCAATCAATCTGAAACGGTTTCACCCAGTTGACCTTGTACTGCAGTCACAGAGATTCGATCCCTAGACCTGTGCCCTAACCCTGTACATTGACCCTGTGTGCTGAGTGAGATTCGATCCCTAGACCTACCCTGTACCTGTACATAGACCCCGTGACCTGAGTAGGATTCGATCCCCAAACCTGTCCTACGACTTAGGTTAGTCTGTAGTTTGGTCAGTAGGACTTGATCCCTAGGTCTGTAGATTAGCAGCTAGGTCTGCTACCAATAGGCCTAGAAAGCCTGTTCTAGAAGTCTCTACTGAGTCTGTCGAAAGTCTGTAGAGTCTGTAGGTTCCAGAAGTCCGTAGGTTCTGTAGGGGGGGTCCAGCCAGCATGTACCTGGGTAAGGGCTGCACGTGGGGAAGGTTCTGGAGCATGCAGAGAGTTCCACACGTTTTGGCCCAGAAGGCCAAACGTCTGGAAGCTTCCCTGGGCCACACGTTTTGGCCCAGGCCCACAGGTCTGGAGGCAGGGTCCGGGTACCTCCGAAGAAGTATAAATAAACAGGCAGCGTCCAGCCATTCATTCATTCGCCTGTGAGCCATGTGGAAGAGCTGCCATGGTGTCTTGTGCATGGAGGTCTGCAGGTGCCTGGAGACGAAGTGGGCAGTGAAGAAGACAGCGGCCATAGCTGGCCAGTGGGGTAGATGTCGGCGGCCATAGCCAGCAGGAGGAAGATGACGACGGCCATAGCCGCCCAGCTGTTGGTGAAGACAAGTGTTCAGAGTGTGTGAGGCTGTGCTGAGTGGGGACATTCAGGGTGATCCTCGTACGTGCACGCATGAGACAGTGAGGGAGMSAGTGAGGCTGGTGKTAGAGACCGTGTTCGGCGGCCATAGCCGCAAGTTGTGCAGCTGTTAAGATTGAGTTTAAGACAAGTTCATTGTTGTTTTTTTTGAGTTGAAAGAGT